TAGTATGTCAGATGAGGGCAGTGGAGGAAAAATAAAGCAGAAACTGGGATAGGCAGCCCTGGGGTTAGAGATCGGGTAGTGTGATTTTATAAATATGTTGGTCATGGAAGACCTATGTGGAAAGATAATATTTGATTAAGCAAAGCCCTAAAGGAGGCTGGGAATGAGCCATGCAGATTTCTGGAGGGAGAGAATTGCAGACAGAAGATACAGCAAATGCTCAAAGCCATGAGAGAGCAGAGTACCTGTTACGTGCAAGGGAAAACAGCAGGCTCCGGTGGCTGACATGGAGCTAGCAGGGAGAGAGTCACAGCACATAACATCAGAGAGAATAGGCATCAGATTATAGGCAATTGTAACTTTGGGTTTTATTCTGAGTGAGATGGGAAGTCATTGGAGGTTTGAGCAGAGAGGTATTTATGAGCTGACCCACATTTTAAAATCCCTCTGGCTGCTGTGTTGAGAATAGCCTGGGGAAGCTAAGTGTTAATAGGGGATGGAGGAGGTAGGTGCAGAAGCAGGGGGACTATCAGAGGGCTTTGTGGTATTCTGTTTACTGTGTTTGGAAAGACAGCAGGAGGTTCTGTTTAGGGATGGGAGGGGAGATCAAGAAATTGGTTTGGGACATGTTCATTTTGAGATATTAGTTATCCAGGTGAAGATACTAAGGCAGTTGGTATATATATGTTCTGATCGATTTCCGTTACGCAAGCTAGGCATTGATTTTAAAGCTCTCGGAAAATAGTTCTCCAGCTTGTCTGGATTATGTCTTTCTATTCTGTAACTATTGGGATGGTGAATTTCAAAATAAGAAAACTCTGAAGCAATCTGTATTATACTCTTTAAGGCTGACTCTTTAAGGTTCTACTTGAGAGGAGCTGCCATCCAGGTTAGAATTGAACTGGCTTCATACTGTGTTTTTCCCTTGATTCTTTTGGCCTAAACTCCTAAGGAGTGATTGGCATATCCTTGGAGAATCTAGTATTTGGGTTGTGATTTACTACCTATGTTATTCTTAGCATTGAGATGTTATTTTAGCTCAGTGATTTGAAATAAAAATAGCTTTTATCTGTCATCCCTGCCTCATTGAGTTCCAATTTGCCATTTTAGTGGGATTATGTTATGCATACAGATGATAATAGAGGTAGAAAAGGGGTTGGGAAACCAGTGTTTCATTCCATTTGCTCAATATCTTCCCCTTAATTTCATGCAGCAAATATTTATGAAGCTGCTAGGATGACAGTGAAAGTGAGAGCCCCTGCACTCGGAGCTCATTATGTTGTGGGTGAGGCAGATGTAAACAGTTATTTTATCTTGTGCTAGAAGTATATGCATGGGGTGCTGTGGGGAGAGATTAGAGTTTTCCTGAGAAATCTTAAGCTTGAACTAAATCTTAAGCTTGAACTGAATCTTAAGATTAAATAACTGTTTTTCAGAAAGCTGAAGCTTCAGGAGAATGAATATATTAAGCAGATAGAACAACATGTAAGAAGGCACAGAGCTGTGAGTTTCAGTGTTTGGGGAACAAGAAGTAATTTTGATATGGCTGATGTTAAGGAACTAGGCTGGAGAGGTGGGCAGGGGCCAGATCCAAGAGAACCATATATTGTTGAATGAATGCGGTTCTAGCCAAGAGTAAAACTTTGAGAGCTACAAAAGAAGGGAAGTGCCTCTCCCAGAGTGACCCGTGCTGTTGATCCTATAAAGAGATATTTTACGAAGGACACAGTAGCAAGGAGAATCATTAGGCCAACACTTTGCTAATAAGCTTTTTTTCCCTCCTCTCATCTGGTCCCTTTTTAACATAGCAGTAGTACTACATTGGAGCTCAGCATTTGAGCACATGTAAGATTTCACTTACGTCTAAAATGGTTATCTTTTATTATTAAAAATTCTGAATAAATAGGTAAAAGAGATGGTGAACGAGGGAATTTTTCTTTCACAAACACTTGTTCTATTACTTTCTGTAAGCCAAGCACCATTCTCAGTACTTCGTTGCAGATGTTAACTCACTCTTCTCCTAGCACCCCGTGCATTGTCTCCATCTGCAGACAGGACCCTGAGCTGAGCACCAAAGTCACACAGCTAGTAAGCGTGCTGGGGTCAGAATTTGAAATCAGGTGGTCTGGTCTGGTTCCCAAGCCACTGTGTCTGCTGCCTCTGATTTGGGTGTCCCAGCCTCTCAGAATTATTCTAGAGCAGAAGTCCAGGGGTATAGTCTTCAGGATGTCCTGGAACCCCTGATTGTATGTTAAAATGTTGCATGAACGTTTTTCAGGAAGAGGGTCCACAACTATTTGTCAAAAGGGTCCCAGGCCAGAATGATTTAGTACTACTCACCTAGAGGAGTTTTTCATGTCTTTTCCCTTGTTAAAGAGTTCCAATTAGAAGAAGGATTCCCTCAAAAGAACGAGATATTTACAAGCCTATTCAGACTTCTTGGCTGACATTGTTCTAAATTAATTGCTTATCTGGTTGATCTTCCTAGGGACTTTTTCCAAAATACACACACCAGGTCCCAGATTTAGGTTGTTATTTACATGGGATGAAGCCCTGGCATCTGTTTTGAAAAATCTCTCCAGGTGATTCTAACATGTCTTTGATTAAGAACCACTAGTATAGAGGCGCCTGGGTGGCTCACCAGGTCCCAGATTTAGGTTGTTATTTACATGGGATGAAGCCCTGGCATCTGTTTTGAAAAATCTCTCCAGGTGACTCTAACATGTCTTTGATTAAGAACCACTAGTATAGAGGCGCCTGGGTGGCTCAGTCGGTTAAGTGTCTGTTTTCGGCATCATGATCCCAGGGTCCTGGGATTGAGCCCCGTGGCAGGCTCCCTGCTCAGTGGAGAGTCTGTTTCTCTCTCCCTCTGCCCCTTCTCTCACTCGCTCACTCTCTCTCAAATAAATAAATAAAATCTTAAAAAAAGAATCACTAATATAATCCCCTGAAGGGAAGGACAAAGATGATATTTTCTGTACTCTTCATTGTATCTCAAGTGCTTGGGACATAATAAACCTTAATGAATGTTTGAATGAATGGCACATTGTGAAATAGACTGCTTTTTATTCAAAGATGATAGTAATGATAATCACTCGGCACTTCACATAAGACCTTTCTATAACCCGGACAGGCTCACCTACACCACCCAGTTTTCCCTTCTAAATACCCTTTACAGAGCCTGGCACTACCTCAGGATCTTCTTGGTGCCCTTATTTGAAGTAAGAGTTGTTCTCTCATTGCTGAGTACCGGATGAATTAGTTCCCGGCAGCCCACAACTGATACAAATCTTTCCAAGTGGTGCTCTAGTGCATCTAAAAGGATGTTTGAAGACCTCTTCCCAGGGGTTAGTTACTCTGCTTATATTTACCAGACTCAAGCTTTTTGAGAATCGTGCTGTCTCAGCATTTTGGGTATCAGATTATGGGACATAGGTCAGAAACTCCTGGGGGATTGGTAATTGAAAAGCACAAGTTGCAAAGAAAGTAATTTGATGGGCTCTTCTGGGAGAGAGAGAAGAGAAAGATGGTGTCAAGTAGACATAAGCACGTTATGAAGAGGAAATAAAAGTACTATGGAAGCTGGGGGAGGTGAGTTGATAATAAGCACAAAAGAACTGGAAGAACATGAAAACATATTTGGATCCCATAGCCAAAGTTTTGAAAAGGGCTAGATGTGCTGTTGAAGTGTGGACATGGGCCCCTAAGGGGCAGGGGGATAGCACTTTTTTAATTTATTTGCTTAGAGCAAAATAAACAAGAAATAGGCATGGTTACCGATTATAGGACTTGCCCAGAGAAATGTTTTCCAGTGATGCCAAGAGCATAGATGGGAGAGTTATTGGTGACAGAAACCAGTGGGAAGTGTTGGTTTAGAGCAGTTCTCCTCCTCCTTTCCCTTCATACAGTCTGGTTTTTGTGATGTGCTGCAGTGGAACCTGCCTGTATCTGAGCGTATACACCAATCAGTGTCACCCTGAATAAAAGTACTCAGTGTAGCTTTTTAGAACTACAAACAGCATGCTCTGAACTGAAGGGGCCGTGGTAGAATCGCGGCCTACCTAAATCAGAAGCTCGTATTGTGAGGAGAAAATGCATTTCTTCGCTTGCGGCTTTTCCTTCTTCTAGTCTTCAGATTTAACAGTGGTTGACCCAGCAAGCTTCTTCCAACTGTAGGGCTTAAGAAATAAAATTTTATAAGAGAAACAACTTTAGGGCGCCTGGGTGGCTCAGTTGGTTAAGCGACTGCCTTCGGCTCAGGTCATGATCCTGGAGTCCCTGAATCGAGTCCCACATCAGGCTCCCTGCTCGGCGGGGAGTCTGCTTCGCCCTCTGACCCTCCCCCCTCTCATGTGCTCTCTCTCTCTCATTCTCTCTCTCTCAAATAAATAAATAAAATCTTTAAAAAAAAAAAAGAGAAACAACTTTAAAACTTGTATCTGGGGCGGGGGTGGGGGCTGTATGGCACCATTTACTTTGGAAAGAGGAAGAAATAAAAGTTTAGAGTCAAATTTGCATTTGATCCTGGTTCTTCGGTGCACTAGCAGTGTGACCCTGGATGTTACTTAATCTTTCTGAACTTCCGTTCCTCGTCTGCAAAATGAGAGGAGAATGACACCTACTTTGGGATATTAATGAGAATTAGAAATAATATCATTAATAGTACTTAATAAGTGGTAACAGGAGCTACTATTCATAACCATAGAAACAAACAATAACTGAATGGGTTATTCCGGGTGCAGAACTTGTGCCTTCAGTTTATCCCTCCAGGGGCTCCTTCTGGAAAGAGGTAGAGTTGCAGGTTCTCAGAGTGCTCCGACAGTGGAATGAGTAAGGACATGCTTTGCAGCGTATGGGCTGGTAGGTCTTGATCTGGGGAGTCCTGCAACTGTCTAAAAGAGGAAGGAAATAAAGTGATATATTTCCAGACACAAACCACTTTTTCCCTCCTACCTGGCTTCCTATGATGTCCTAATTCTCCCTCGTTACTTTCCTGGCAGGTGGCTGTGAAAAACAATATTGATGTCTTTTACTTCAGCTGCCTCATCCCACTCAATGTGCTTTTTGTAGAAGATGGCAAAATGGGTAAGTACATCCTCCTGTCCTTCTGCCAAATATACCTTTGCCCTCCTCTGAATGTCAGTCAGAGCACAGCCCAGAAGTACAAGTTCTTTTGAGATTTTTTTTTTTTTTTAAAGGGAGTGGGGTAAGCCTGTTTTAAAGGTCTACTACTTGCTAATCATATTTGTTCTCCTGAGTCACAGTTGATCTTGCCTTGCTGTTGGTCTCTATATCACATTGCCAGTTTTCTGAATAATCCAGTCACTCCAGCACAGAGTAAGTGGTTTGGTGACAAGGAGATGTGGATTTGAATCTCACCTTGGCTGTGTACTCGCTGTGTGATTGTGACAAGGTGCTTAACTTTTCTGAGTCTCCGTTTGCAAGTTTGCAAAGCAGAAATAGTTATTGTAAAAGCTGGATGAGATAATATATGCAAATTGAGCACTTAGCCAGCCCTGTACTAAGTTTTTACTGTCTCAAAATAAGAATTCAGTAATTTGTAATAAACATTAATAATCCCTATGTGGTTGTTGACGTTTCTCTCTTCCCTTATGAAACCACCATCTAATAAAACTCACTTATACTGGTACATATTAATTGTATTGGCACTTAATTGATTTGATTCTTACAGTGGCTCTTTGGGTAGGCAGGACAGATGTAATTACATATGATGAAATTAGGATCAGAAAGATCGCAAGAGTTACCCAAAGTCATGAAATCGGAAAACAGTGGAGCCAAGACTAAACTCTAGATATCAACTTCTCCCGGTGTATGTTAGTGCTGCTGATATGAGATTAATTGATGTGGAGTGTAGCACCTCTGCATAGCTAAGAATTGGCTCCTGTTCCAGGCCGCTCCTGGATATATTGTAAGAGCCAGCACTCCAAAAGAGAAATGATGATGTAAGGCACCAGAAATCAGAATATCGACAGACTGTGCACACCCTTCCTTTCCCTCTGCTTCCCCATACAGAGCGCCAGGTCTTCCTTGCCACATGGAAGGATATTCCCAATGAAAATGAACTTCAGTTTCAGATTAAGGAATGTCATTTAAATGCTGGTGAGTAATGACTGAATTTCATGTGCATCTTATTAGATATTTGAAAATTTTGTCTTAACTCTTCTTTCCACATCTACCTGTTTCTGGTGGTTGTATGGTAGATATTTGACTTGTAAACTTCTCTTTTAAAACTTCAGGTACTTTGATATAGGTACTAGATTACTGCCAAGCTAACAGATTTCAGAAACAAAGTAGAATGGGTCCATCCACCCAGTTCTTCAGTAGTCAAACCCGTGTTAGTCGTGTTACGTGTGTGTCGTCCTGTGAGCCTCGGGGGACTGAAGCGCCAGTTGAAGCTGTGTACCCTCCCGGAAATTAAAAGAACTCTCTCCTTCTGTATCAACCTGTGGTATTGGAAGAAAGGTGACTCTCTGAGATCCTTAGGTAGAATCTTGTGTTTGTTACTAAACAAAAATACATCATAGTTGATTAAATTAACTTTTTTTTTTTTTTAGGGGCGCCTGGGTGGCTCAGTCGTTGTGCGTCTGCCTTCGGCTCAGGTCATGATCCCCTGGGGTCGAGTCCCGCATCGGGCTCCCTGCTCCGCGGGAGGCCTGCTTCTCCCTCTCCCACTCCCCCTGCTTGTGTTCCCTCTCTCGCTGTGTCTCTCTCTGTCAAATAAATAGAATCTTTAAAAAATAATAATAATAATAATTAGCCTTTTTTTTACTTGCCTTGTGTCAGCTTTCACAGGATAATACTAACCTCTTTAATCATCATTAAAAAGCCCCAGACCCTTCTGTAGTTCATTTTGTTACTATAATAGAACATCAAAGCAGTAACCCAAGAGGAGAAATAGTAGCTATCAATCCCTAGCGCTTGATAGTGATGGGGCTTGTTTCGCGAAGTTTCCTCAGGAATGGAGGGGCCCTGAGCTCCGCATTGTCCTGCCTTGGTCCCAGTCACTCTTTTTTGAGACTAGTGCACAGCTTTCTGAGTTTGAATGAAAATGAGCCTTGGTACTTAGTCAGTTCTTTCTCTTTCTTTTATCTATTTCCTTCTTGTGTGTTGGTGGTTCTCGTCTGGGGTTTTTGGCGTGCTGCCATCCCAGTGTCGCTAGAGCGTGACACTGGGAGGAAGAGGCAATATGGGACTACAGGGAAGGGGGAGAAACTCACGGTCCTTTCATTCCAACCTTTTCTTTTTAACTTCCATCTCTTGGGGCTCTGCGATGTATTCATCCTCTGTGTTCAGACAAATCTTCTCTTACGGGGCTTCTCCTGAGCCTTTGGAGAGGTGTCTGAGGAGATAGTCTTCTATAATTTCCATTGTAGTAACTACTAAGTTGATTCTCTTCAGGAACACCACACATCTGCCTTCTTCCTAACATATTCTTGGTCTAGGTTTCTCACCCTGACTGCTTATGTATGTATGTTTATTAAAATCTACATTTTTGCTGCATTTTCACCAAAAAATCATACTCAAATTGAGCTGCTTTTGGTGCCATATTCTAGGTAGATGACAGTGTTATCTGCCCTCTCTGAGGCTCACGGTCAGTTACCACAAGCCTCATTTCATGAGTGTAGGAGCTTGGGTAGCCTTCCAAGGTATAAGCTGTGCTTCAGAAAGCTGTCAGGTGCAGAATCCAGAGTGGCTCCTGGTGAGAACCAGAGCAGATCCTGTTAGAGAGGCAGCTTCCGTACCCAGCTTGGAAGAGACCCTTCATTGTAGTCACTCTTGTGGTAGTGGGTCCTATGGCAACATTTCATGTATTGCTCTCCTGAGAACGCTTGTCCCTCAAAGAATAAAAGGGGGTTCTGTGTCAGTTAAAGGTGAAAAATGTAGCATGTGATGGGCCTCTGCTAGAAGTTGCCATTGCATGTGAGCGCACATAAAAGCTGAGGAGGCTGCCATTGAGGAAACACATTTAACTCAATGTGAACGAATTTATGGACCATGGAATTTAAAATTGCAAAATGCTTATTTTTAACATCTTGTGAAACACCGATGTTCCTTTTTTTTTTTTTTTTTTTTAAGTAATCTCTACACCCGTCATGGAGCTCAAACTCATAACCCTGAGATCAAGAGTCACGTGCTCCACTGACTGAGCCAGCCAGGCGCCCCAACACCACTGTTCCTTGAGCATGATCTGGGGAACACTAGCCTATAAAGAACAAAACAAAAAAAGGCACAGAACAATTGCAAAGATTTGGTTTCAGACATCCAGTATGAAAGGGAGATGCTTTTTCAAAAAGAAAAGTAAAAAGAAGTGTGGATGACCGAGGGTTTTAGTCTGGCCTGCCAAAATAATAGAAAAGATCCCCCTGCTTCCAGATTGGAGTTCTGAACCCTTATTGAACCTTGGTGTACATTTATGATCTTGCCAAAGAGGAGGTGTCTGGCCTTCCTCCCAGTGGGGCTGTGTCCTCTGCTGTAGCCTGGCACAGTTTCTCAGAGCAAACTGAGTTCTGATCAATTCTGCCATGGCTTCATGCCAGTGCCTCACTGCCTTGGGTGCTCCAAATACCAGCAAATTGGTTTCTCCGTGACACACCACTTTATGGCCGCGCTGCACATGGAATGGAAGGGACAACGGCCACTTTGTTTTCTCTGGGAGCCCAAGGCCATCATTTTCCCACATGAAATCACTGCTAATCTTGCAAGACCACTTCCTGCAACTAATCCTTTCTAGCTTTTCCTCTGCATCCATCCCAAGGTCTGGAGTGGCCTGGCCTTTACATTTCCTTCCAGTCCTGAGGGCTCTATTAACAGTGCGTTTCCAGGTTTAGTGCCTTCTGATTCAACACCCTGGGTCTAGCTGGGTGCTAAAAATACCATCCTTTCCAGCTGATCTGCCCTAATCACAATAGCACCAACACTTTAAATAGCTTTTCTGTTCCAGAGTAGACATTTGACAGATGGAACTAACACTCTGAGGGCTATAGGAAGTCACAGGCTTTAAGGACTTTACCAACCTAGCCTCTTCTGCCTTTTCTTTTGCTCTTCCATTTCTTTCTAGAGAAGAAACAAGAAACCCTCTTCCCAAGCCTTAATAATAAATCAGATCTTAATAGAAAGGTATGTATGTAGGGGTGCTTGTGGGACCCCTAGTTGTGTAATACTAGAAAATTTTAAATCTTGAAGGCACTAACATATGGGCCTTCCTGCTTCCTAGCACTTGCCATCTCTTTTGGTGTCAAGAGTTCTGCATGAATCTGTTTTGCAGCCTACCATGATAGCTACGTTTGGGGTTAGCATATGTCTGGGACCACTATCTTAACTGCACAAGAACTAGTTGTAGCTCTAGAAAGGAAATCTTTCTGGCAAGCAGTCTGCAAGCCAGTTTTTTTAAATTGTTTATTCTGAAAAGCTCAGTGACATATTGTGTCTGTAAGCACTACAGTAAGGGACAGATCTTTCTTCTGGTGTGGGGACTTAGGTAGGGGTGAGTTCTGTTTCTCTGTTTTGCTATAATCCTCCCTGTCTTTGGGACATTTCATAAACGAAATGCTTTGCTGGCCAGCACTTAAATATAGTTTGGCTGCTCAAGCAGTAAAAAGTGTTGTTTTTAGCAGTCATAGTAGTTTCGGATTTGGTTGGCCCCAAGTGCAGATTTCCCCTTTGCACTCTCTAATACGAGTACCATCCTCCCTCTTACTGCTTCTGGAAGAAGTGTGACCTTAGCTAAAGTAGGAAGATGAAGACCACATTCACACCTCCTCAGAGTTTACGCCATAGACTCAAAGAGCCAGCTTTGGGAAAGAAGACAAATGAACCAGAAGAAATCACAACTAGAAGCAAATATAAACCTATTTGACATCTTCTCTTATTCTCTCCTTTGGGCCAGATCTCTGTTTCTTTACCTTTCCTTCTCATTCTCAGATTCTCACAACAGTGGTAAGATTACCTCTGATTTCCCAGGAGTTCAGGTGTGTAAAAGGAAAAATTATGGTATCTTGTCAAGAAGTGTATCCCAGTCAAGAGGCACTTGGCTGGCTCAGTCGGAAGAGCATGCGATTCTTGTCCTCAGAGTTGTGAGTTCGAGGCCCACATTGGATGTAGAGATTACTAAAAAAATAAATAAACAGGGGCGCCTGGGTGGCTCAGTTGTTAAGCGTCTGCCTTCGGCTCAGGTCATGATCCCAGGGTCCTGGGATCAAGCCCTGCATCGGGCTCCCTGCTCTGCGGGAAGCCTGCTTCTCTCTCTCCCACTGACCCTGCTTGTGTTTCTGCTCTTGCTCTCTCTCTCTCTCTGTCAAATAAATAAATAAAATCTTTAAAAAATAAATAAATAAACAAAAAAAATGTATCCCAGTGTGGCTGGGAAGCCTCCTTACATCTGGTTCCCATTGCTATTCTTAACAAGAACATTTAGCATAGTCTGATTACCCTTTCATCTCTATATCCTCAAGCTCAAACCTAATATCTAAGATTTATAAAAATTGGGCACCTGGGTGGCTCAGTCGGTTGGGCGTCTGCCTTTGGCTCAGGTCATGATCCCAGGGTCAGGCTCCCTGCTCAGCGGGGGCCTGCTTCTCCCTCTGCCTGCCACTCTCCCTGCTTGTGCTCTCTGTCTCTCTCTCTCTCTCACTCTCTCTCTCTCTCTCTCTCTCTCTCTAATAAAACCTTAAAAAAAAAATTGATTCACACATACTTATGTTCTAGAGCCCTCCCTTCATTTAGTCCTCTGGTAGAAATCCTATGCAGCCATTCAGTAGGAGCAGAGCCAGGTCTCTGGCCAGAATGTTTCCTAAATGAATTAAAGTTTACCTTGATTCAACTTGTTTGTTCTACCTGGCTGTTTGCCCCGTTTTCTAATTTTGGAAGGCTGAATGTGTTTGTGTGCTTCCATTTCTTAGCCTGTCATCTGTTCCGTAAGTGGTGACATGACAAGTCTGTAGGAACCTGGGCTTTGCTGTATACACGGTCTAGAATGTGTCTGTGCTGGGGCGCCTGGGTGGCTCAGTTGGTTAAGCGACTGCCTTTGGCTCAGGTCATGATCCTGGGGTCCTGGGATCGAGTCCCACATCGGGCTCCCTGCTCGGCGGGGAGTCTGCTTCTCCCTCTGACCCTCCCCCCTCTCATGTACTCTCTCTATCTCATTCTCTCTCTCAAATAAATAAAATATTTAGAATGTGTCTGTGCCTGTGCAGCAAGGTGGCTCTTCAGTACAGGCTCCTGTGTGTGTGTTCTGTTTCCTCGGAAATGGGCAGGAGCCTTGAAGTTAGGAATGGATTTTACAACTTAAAACAAGCCCCCCATGTCTTAAGACATTCCTGTCAAAACGCATTAGCCAAACTCCAGCTGGTGGTGTTGCCTAGCAACTCAGTCTAAGCTGCAAGAGCCCTTCGTTATGGGAACCAAGGTGGCAGAACTGCCTGACCCCTGAGAAGGTGATTAAAAAGCATGTGGAGGCCCCCTCCTCCACGTATTGCACGTAACGACCCAGAGATAAACTTTTGAGCTCCTTGAAGATAGCCGGTTCTTAAGCTATAGCTGCTCTGCTTGGTGTTGGTGAAAACCTTGGAGGGAAAAGGGAAAGAGTCAAGTCACAACTAAATGTGGTGCAGATGTTTAGTGACTGGCCTTTTGTGCCTCCTCCCCTGAGCTCTCATTGGTTTGAATGTGGGGAAAAGACATGAGAGGAGGAACTGCTTCCAAAATTAGCCCGCATCCAAGCAGGTGGTTTCTAATGCCGATGGCAGTACGTCTATCTCGGCATCTCCGGCCCTGGAGTTGGAGGCTTCTTCACGGGGGTTGATGGCAAGTACCTCTTGTGTCCCAGGTACCGTGGGAAGCACAGCGATGAAAAACTCCAGGGTCCCTGTGCTCAGAGAGCTTCTCTAGGAGAGCAGGGAGGCCAGCCATCATGGTATCCTTTTCCTAGAGAGCACAACAGAATAGGATGGATTTTTATGTGGAGAATTCTTGAAGTCAGCACGAGTAATTTCGAATTCTCATCAGAAATGAACATCCTAAACTTAACCAACAAAGAAGCAGTGTTTATCGTCTCTGTTCCTCAAGTTTCTTTCTCTGATGCTTCGGCGTCTCTCCTCTTAGCAGTGAGAAAACAAGGAGAGCAAAATGACCTTTCATTGCAGACCTTCGTGTCTCTTTGATGTGGTAGTCACAGGGAGGACCCCAAACACCAACCTCTTCTCACCCTGGGTTGGTGACTCCAAAGGCCTCTGCTGTGACAGCTTGGGGTATATAGAGCCTGGTGGCAGTCATTTTAGCGCAACTTCAGGCTTTCTCAAAGTCTTTTATTGAGACTTTTTCTTTATTCATTTGGAGGCATGATATTCCCTACAAGCTTAAGAAATCATTTACCTGCTTAAAAAAAATTTTTTTTAAGCATCCAGATTAATAAATTTGACTTGCAGGATTTCTGCAACTCTGTGCCCTTTTCTGATCTTGGCAGTTGAGTCCAGAGTGGCTCATGGTGAAGTAGGGAGTAAATGTGGATTTGGTCATCAGTCTGTGTATCCCCGTAGCTCTGGGATCAGTGTTCCAGAAATGAATGCCAACACGGCAGTCACCATGGCACCACCCATACACCCATTGCTGTCCTTGCCCTCTTTGGAGCATTTTTATCTGTGTAGCACGTAGTTTAAGATTACCCACTCTGCGGGGCGCCTGGGTGGTTCAGTCGTTAAGCGTCTGCCTTCGGCTCAGGTCATGATCCCAGCGTCCTGGGATCAAGCCCCACATCGGGCTCCCTGCTCCGCGGGAACCCTGCTTCTCCCTCTCCCACTCCCCCTGCTCATGTTCCCTCTCTCACTGTCTCTCTCTGTCAAATAAATAAAATCTTTAAAAAAAAAGATTACCCACTCTGCTGACCCACCATAATCTCCACAGGTAATATTTTCACTAGTGCTTGGTTGCACCTTACTCGGTTTTCTGTCCTGGAATCTGTTAGGCACTTCAGGAGACTCTTCCTCACCCTGTGCTGTTGTGGGAGAAGGGCCTTCTGAACTGTGTGCATGCGTGTGTGTGACGGCACTTCTCAGGAGACTGTGTACGTGTGGCTCGTAAGGATGTCAGAAAAGTGCATTTGTTTGTTACTTTAATTGAAGGTGTTGAATTTTGAATCTGTGTTCCTAGACACTGTTTCCAGCAAATTGCAAAACAACAATGTTTATACTATTGCCAAGAGGAATGTGGAAGGGCAGGACATGCTGTACCAATCCCTGAAGCTCACTAATGGTATTTGGATTTTGGCCGAGCTACGTATCCAGCCAGGAAACCCAAATTATACGGTAAGTCCTTTCTCGAGGTAGATGAGATGGATTCCTAGCACAGTGGAAAGACCTGGAGGAGACGCTTCACACCCCAGATAGCCAAAACAAGCAGTCGATCAAGAAGTCCCCAGTGACCTCCTTGGAAGACCTTCTCTAAGGAGTGCCTCTGTACTTCTTCCCCTGGTATATGCTGAGTGACTCACAGTATTGTGCATGTGGTGCTCTGACAGACTGCTGAGAGGGTTGTCTCCATAGCTCATTTCAAGAAGGCCTTCTTTCCTGCTTTTAGAGTTCATGACCTAAGGCTATCAGAGTCCTAGACACATGAGCCTTTTTTTTAGCAGCATGTATGCCCCGAAGACTCTGCTGAGAAAGGTGAGGCAAAACTGGGGCACACCTTTGGAAGACTGCAAGGGGACTGTAGTTTGGAAAAACTCCTTCAGGACCATCCTGGACTAAAATTAAAATCCTGGCAATATTTTTAGAGCAGGAGCGATTGCCTTGAACAACAAAGACTACCCTGCAGGCACCGGACATGTGTTTGCTGTTGTGAAGTGTGATCTCCCAATAGGATGCTGCCTGTCACCGCCGGTTGTAAAATAAAAGCCCTTGGGATGGGGACAATATCTTATTCTTGGGTTATCTTTGAAGCTTCTTAGGCTGTTTTGAAGGAAGGGACGGAAGAGAATACTGTTCAATATTGAATAACTGAGGAAGCTGAACAGGAGACTAAGGAGGCATTTTAGCCATTTAGCTGAGAAAAACCTGTGACCGCATTCCTTAATTTTAACAGCCAAGTCTGTTTTCATTAGCATTCATCAAGGGAATAGTACCACCCAGAACTGAGAATTCTTGATGTTTTCCCCACTAGTTCCCCCCCTTGAAGCAGCTGGGGGAGAGAGAGAGAGTGTGTGTGTGTGTGTGTGTGTGTGTGCGTGCGCGAGCACACACACACACATGCTCCGTCCTATCAAGCTAGATTTTTGTGAGTGGGAAACTTCAGGCTTCCTCCATGAAGTAGACACTCCTCCCACCCACCTTGTCCTCCAACAGTCTTGTCTTTTTTGGAAAGAAACTACCCCATCATTTACTTTGAGTTCCCTAAGAAAGGAAAAAGCCCTTCTGTGCTGTTCCTGGAAGGGCTGGTCTTCACTGTAAAATCAAGGTCTTGTAAAA